TATATATATATATATATATATAATTATAATTTTCCCAAATGGATCATTATCGATTTCTTTTGGACATTATTTGGCTGTCATGTAACAAGTAACTATTTAGTATGCATGCATTTATTTCGCATACGGCATTTGTTTGTTGTCCACATAGACCCACGTGGACCCACACAAGGACCCTTTCACATATGCAACTTAAATGTCTTCCGTGGCATTTATATATATCGAGCATGTAGAATCACTATGCAAATGGTTTATTATTCAACATTCAAGTAATAACTTATGAAAATCAATATAATATCTTTGTATATTTCAACGCCACTACTACTTTAAAATTAAATCTATAGTGTCCAATGATGAAGGAATCAAGAGACCATAAAAGATGTCTATATAATAAGATGCATGTTTGCACTCCAAATCCCAACTATATCATAAAAACTTGGAGATCACATCCAACATTCTATCATCACAGGGACAAACTAACTTTATCTATGGGCTTATGATAATGTCAACTATATATATGCTTCAAATCCATGCAGAAACACTTTAGACATTCTATTATGTCTAACAGTATTGAAAAGCTTCAATTCTCACATTGGCTGTATCCATCGACTCTCAGATCCTGAATCTTCCTGCATATGGGCCCTTCAATCATATTCATAGGCATCGATCATATTTGTGAGGACCAAGACACGAGGATCTGATGGACAGGCCAGATTTGAGAATTGGAGGTTCCAACTTCTCCAGCTTTTCCTCAGACTAGGAGGATCCTGACTCCTATCTTGATAGAGGACGGTTCAGACTATGTACTTTGAGAATGCTGCGTGATAATTTCTTTGTGCTAGCTATAGAAAGATTTATCTATAACATAATCGATACGAATTCACATTATACCATAATCATTGTGCAGCAGCCACAAGTTGCCTCATTGGGGTGAGCAACCTTGCAAGTGGAAGAGGAACATGTGCCCTTATCATGGTCCCGTTCTCCATGAATTCCTTCAATAGATTAGGAAAATGAATTGTGTCAAAATTTGAATACAACATGAAGTAACCGATGAAGAAAATCTCAAAATTTTAAAGGATATATGCTCAATTTGTAACACAATTTAATATTATGAGAGAGATTTTCATGTCCAAGTCAAATTTGTAATATTTAATTTGTAATTTGTAACACTTAATTTAAAAGATGTGCGAAGCATTTCATGAGGGGCGATATCAATGTGATGTTATTTCAGTAGGCATACGTTTGTCAATGGTCAAGCATGATACTTACAGTTCTCTCTACCATTCCGACCTGATGTATTGAATTAAGAAGATCCCCTTTGTCATAGGGAATTAAAGCTTCAACTGGTACCAACGAGTCCTGTTAAGATGATCCCAAAGTTAATGGCCTACAATTGACCCAAAACAGAGTAAGTGAATCCTGCAAAGACTAGATCCTTAAGTACAGGCATATTGATACCTTAAGCTTTGCTTGAACTGCACTGGAGAATTGCTCCAACCCATCACCACTAATTGCTGATATGCATATAGCTCCTATTTGCTCTGCTTCAGATTGTAATCTTTCAGGATCATCAGCCTTGTCAATCTGCAGTAGACAGCTCCTCATTACAAAGTTATAGAACATTTTACTCACTACAAAATACTCCATAAAACTGCAACATCAACAAAGTATAAAGTATAAACCCATGTATATGGAAAACATGCCTCAAATAGGAAATCATTAACGAAATAGTAGTTCTGAACTTCTGATAAGAGAGTTGTCATTGTGCTATAAGATTATCAGTGGGATAATGATGTGACATCCCAACAATCCCTTATCAAGAAATAAGGGAAGCATGAATTTGTTTATATATGACTTGATTACCTACTAATATGCTGAGCTAATGAATTTTAGTCCATGCGGCTAGACCCACTATGCACTAGTTATTGGGTGAATGACTTCTGTTCAAGTAAATATCAAGTCATCAACCTACAAAAATTTGGTGTTAGATCCCAAGCAAACACGAATAGCAACGGATGCAATGTTTAGATACCATTGATTTAGCTCAACACAAACCGAGAAACAATATTGGTTTTGGTCTAAAACATGAAAGATCCAATACGAGGGGAGCTAGATATTGTACCTAGGCCCAAGATTTAAAAATTTGGAACAGCCCATACCATCCAGTAATTATCAGCTGGTACACAGACCGATCAATTTCATTCAATACCATACCGATTGTACCACCCAGTATACCATCCCGATTGTTTATATGTACATGGATCCAACCAACACCTCCACCCTTTTAAACTTCTAAACAGCCTCTTTTTTTTTTAATCTTAAACTCCTGATAACAAATAAAATGTACAACTAATTGAATCTAGGTTAGATAGATCCACATGGATCCAACGAAGATCGTCACAGATATGATCAAAATTTGTACAGATCCAAACAATTTCCAGGTGGTGCTCAGATCTATTCTAGATTTGCACAATTTCCACCAACATCCTCGTAAAACCTAGCTCGGACCTATCCAAAATCCACATCGACGTAGCCTAGATTTACTTAGACCTAGTCTCAGTTCGTGCAGACTAAGCCAAGATCAACATAGTAGGCTAAATTCACACAAATAAGTGAACTTGAACACTTGAGTAGCAAAAATACTGTATATATATCAAGGTTCGCCGTACCGTACCATACCGACGTTTCGACCCGGGCTCGGTACAGTATGGTATGGTACCGGTGTACCGAGTGGTACATCAGGGCGTACCAAGCGGTACACCCTGGTGTACCGAATAATTTTATATTTTATACTATAGTACTGTAGCGGTACCGGGTGGTCCACATATCGGTAACCTATCAGACCGGTACGTACCGCCCGATACGGGCGGTACGCTTCGGTATGGTAGACCTTGATATATACATATACATATACATATACATATACATATACATACATACATACATACATACACATACACATACATATATGTATATATATAGACTAAATCTACACAGATCTAGGTACATCTGAATAAAACTGACCAAGATCTTCACAATCTTGGTTGATCTAACCTAAACCACATTTCCATTACTCAATTGTGAATGCTTTGATTGTGTTCCTATATTTGTGTCTTAACAAACGAACAAAATACTAAACCTGATGTGGCAACACATCCATCACTTTGGACACCACAATCACTAATGGTGCTTTGACTAAAACTACATTGATTATAGTGAAGTAATAACAAGCTTAAAGTTGCATTTGGCCAGTGAATTTTGTAATGTAACCAGATGCATAAAGATCCATCAAGAAATTAGATAGGCTCTCAAGATTGAATTGAATTAACGGAAAGCTTCAAAGCAGAAGCAACAAGCACAGAGGAACTTGGTAGGTGGCATTTAAGTAGTCTATCCATAATGAGAATAAGGGTTGAGGGGTGAAGTGATGATGATCCAAAGTTAGTCGTTGGCATTCATGCATCTATATGCACTATCAAGTGTACAAACAGGGAATATGATAGGGACATGGTTTTGGTCCATCCTAGAACAAACAGAAAATTACGGTGGTAATGATGATGACGGGAAGTGCTATAGCTAGTGATGGACTGCAAATAGCAGGATTGCCAAAACGAGACTATCAATGCAAATTCAGCCCCAAGCAAAGGGCATTGAAGATTTTTTCAACTCTTTTGATAGGAAGACAACACCAAATATTACAAATACTGACTCATGACAAATTAAAAAGTGGTTCAACTCCATTTGCATCCCCCTAATGGTACTTGGGATTGGGATTTTTAATTTCACCCAGTTCAATTTTGTTCATCTGGTATTTATTTGCAGACCGCCATCCTAGAGGTGGTTGCACGCCCTGAAGCATCTAAGAGTACTTTTGGTGGACGTATCAGTGTGCGACACATTGTCAGCACAGCCTGACACATGTCCAACGTGTCCAGTCATGTATTTTTTTATTTATTTTCATTTCTATTTGTGGGACACGGCATTGCTCCCTCATGCTTCATCATGTGCAACACTACGCTCACGTGGCCCTCACAGGAGGGCCATCTGCTTTGGATTCTGCATAGAGACAAATCATTGTCACTAGGAATGAAATCTAGAGATTGTCACAAGGAAACATATATCAATTATAATTGGAGTCTAAGAAGCATGAACACGATACGGACACAACAATATACCATTTTTTTTAAAATTAGGCTATGGACACAGTCAGGACATGTATTTTTCAATATATATAATATTCAATTAATATGAGTTTTATAATATTTATACTTAAGTTTTATAAACTCGACAATGTGAACAAATAAATATCATCAAACAGATTGAAACAATTCAGATCATATAAATGAAAATATCCAAAATAAAGATTAAGTACATAAAATAATATTTAGCAATAACTAAACTCATTCTCTACATCATTATCACCTTCATTCGGTGATTCATCAGCATTATCAATAAAAATATTATTTTTCCAACTTTGGTTCATCCAAGGGTAAATTTTCAACTTCAAGTACTCCAATATCTTCAAATAAGTCTTCAAATAAGTATTGTGTTCTCTTGGAAAGAAGATTGAGATTACTATGAATGAATACATAATCTTTTGCACGTTGAGTCATTTTATTCCTTTTAAGAGAATTCATGAAAAAATAGGTACTCTGGTTTCTCTTAAAACATGATAAAGAGGACGGCTACACAAGTAACTTCAAAGTTAATGCTTGAAGGAAAAAAATAGACGAATCAAATACAACCCACCAACTTTTAGGATCCATATGGTAATGATCGTGTAAAGAATCATAATCAGTAAAGACAAGAAAAATTAGCATATTCTTTGTTGGCACGTGTTCTAATCTCAATAGTTGAATAATATCTTTTTAGACATCTTAGTTTTTCTCGAGAAATATTTGGATCTCTCTGTGAGGGTACTCGTTTAGGACTTATTTATCACTATAATATCTGAAATTAAAAATAAAAATAAATAATTTCATAAATATACTTAATTATGTAACAAGTATCATTAGAAATCAAAATTAATAGATATTGGGATTCAAAGAATGAACCAAACAATGAAGTGGACTATTATTTTTTGTCTAACGATGAATAAGAATTTGATAAATTATATCATAGAAAGATGAATTCATTTGATTTTTTTCTTCATATGTATATATATGTTTTTCACTTTCTCAATCATATCATTGTATATGCCATGTACTAAATGAACACATGGTTTATCCATGTTATAAAATTTAAGCATATCATAAATAGGTCCTACCAAATATCATCGAGCATATTTACCTTCAAAAATCTTGCTTTATCAATATCAACGTCCCTATAACATGATCACTTGTCATTAATAACAATATATTGAAGTCCACCTTTGATAAGCTTGACCATTTAAGCATAATAATTGTTTAGGTAAAAACAGTGTCAGCTATATAGAGTATTGAGTAAGTTCAATAGCACAAACTCATTAAATATGATCAATCTTATAACATGATTCATGATCGAACTTTTTTATCATCACAACATTACCTACAATATCAAAAATCCATCTAATTGTATAATGTGTTAACTGATTCTATTTGATATTCTTTGCTGCACAATTATTTTTCAACGATAAATTGAGAGTACGAACCACACATGGAGTTCAAACAATATTTAAAAATTATGATGCAATAATTTGCTGTGCACCCTTGCAAATTTAAAGTATTATCAGTAATAATCTATATTATGTTTTGATAACTAGCCATATTGATAAGTTATTTCATCAAATTTGAAATAAAATATTCATCCTTCATTTCTCCAATACAATCGGCTGCCTTAATAAACATGGCTCCACCATCAATAAGTTAACTAAGGATCTCCTCTATGAATCGCTTCGTCTATCACATATAATGCTAACTATTTTTTCCTTTTATGTACCTTTAATCAGTCATAATACTAATAAAAGAACTCCTCTTTGTTATTTTTTTCTAAAGGAGAGTGGTTCTCAAAAAATTATAACCATGTGGTAAATAACTAAATAAAAGGATATTCACAACACAAGTAAAAGCACTAACATAATACAGATTTCTTGCTAGGTGAAATAGTAAACCAGCATATTAAAACATTTGAACTATCTCAAAATATAATTGATCACGTGATGTTGTATTAAATGCAGCTATAATACCTTTCCCTTTGTTAGTGTCACCTAAGTTTATTTTCTTCTGATCAAATGTATAACTACTCATACAATCGAAAGAAATAGTAGAAAAGGATAACGGTACTTTTTTCGAAACACTTTGTTGTTGTTTTACCATAACTTCATTTTCTAATTTTTACATATTAGAGATATTCTTTATTGTGTTACCTTTGTGTATATGGCAATCCCTCAACTTTAATAGATGTGCTCTAACACTTGTATAAGAACTGTTTTGAGTTGATGACAAAAGTTACATTATCATGAGATATTCCTACCACCTCTATCATTAAATATAAGAAGAACAAAAGAGCTATTAATAGAACTTAACAAACTTATTTAATTTGTGTTGCATAAAATAAATATTAAAAAGAACAAAAATTGACTTCTAAAAAATATGATTCCTAAAACAACCTTTTTTTTTTAATATTTTAAAACATAAATAGAGATTATTTTATAAGCTAATAAATATTTAATATTTAGTCATTTTGCATATTAAGTTCAACTCCGCAAAAGCCGAAGTACGATTATGGCACAACTATGTATTAGGATCTAACAAAGTTAATAGTTTTCTTTCACCTGGTTTCTTTAATTCATCATATTCTTATGTATTTCTCTAAACTTCACAAATCAACTCATGCAATACAAGCACCAAGTCCAAGGATATAGGTTTCAATAGACCATTTCTGTTGTACATAAATACCAAGTGAAATGCTTTAGCCTTCCAACTATGGTACAAACAAAGGTGCTTTGATATCCTTGTGATTACAAGAGATGGACACGAAAGGCATTTTACTTTTTCAATAGAAAACAAATAACAATGAAGATGTAACCTGTGCAGTTGTACAAACAGTTCCACATTTGATCAGAAGAAAAAAAATTATGTTACAATGACAAAGAGAAAGGTATTGTAGCGAAATTTAATACGATAATACGTGATCAATTACATTTTGAGAATGAGAAAATGTTTTATTCTATTGGCTTATCATTTTACCTAGCAAGAAATTCATATTATGTTAGTGTTTTTACTTTTGCCGTAAACAATCCTTTATTTGGTTATTTCTAATTTGGTTATAATTGCTTAAGAATCACTCTCCTTTAGAAAGAAAAAGCAACTGAGAGGTTCTTACGACCAATTAAAAGTACATTAAATGAAAATATTCTAGTATTGTTTGTGTCGAATAGAATGATTCACAAAGACCCTTAATTAACTTAATAATGGTGGAGCCATGTTTCTGAAGGAAGTCAATTGTACAGGAGAAATCAAGGATAACTATTTTATTTCAAATTTGATAAAAGAACTTATCAATGAGATTGGTCATCAAAATATAATATAAATTATTATTGATAATATTTCAAATTACATGGGTGTAGGGCATATTATTAAATCATAATTTTTAAATATTGTTTGGACTCCATGTGTGATTCATCCTCTCAATCTAGCGTTAAAAAATATTAATGCAATAAAAAATATTAAATAGATTGTTAACATATGATGGCAGTTAACATACAATGCATGTTTAACGATTTTGTGCCATTGAAGTTCACACATTTTACACTAACAATTGTTATGCTTAAAAGGTTTAAACTTATCAAAGGTGAACTTCAATATGTTATTATTAACGACAAGTGATCATGTTACAGGGACAATGATATTAGTAATGCAACATTTGTGGAGGAAAAAATATTTGATGATACTTAGTGGGATAAAATAATTATATTCTTGGTTTCACTAGATCTACTTCTGATATACTTAAATTTTATGACACGGATAAAACATGTCTTCATTTAATATATGACATGTAGGACCATATGATTGAAAAAACTTATATATATATATATATATATATATATATATAAAGGAAAACAAATAGACGAATCTTCATCTTTCTATGATGTAATTTATCGAATTCCTATTCACTGTTGGACAAAGAGCAATACTCCACTATATTGTTTGGTTCATTTTTTGAATACTAATATCTACTAGTTTTGGTATTCTAGTGATATTTGTTATATAATTAAATATATTTATACAATTATTTTTTTTATTTTACATATTATAGTGATGAATGAATCCTAATGGAGTACCCCACATAAAGATTCACAAGTCTCTTGATAAAGACTAAGATGTCTAAAATTATATTATTCAACTGTTGAGAAGAGAAAATGTGTCATCAAAGAATAAACTAATTTCTCCAATAGAGTTATACTTTGCTGATTATAATTTTTTACACGATTGTTACCATATAGATTCTAACAGTTGGTGGGTTGTATATGATTCATCTGCTCCTTCATTTCAAGCATTAGCTTTGAAGTTACTTGCAACCTTCCTCTTCATCATGTTGCAAAAGAAACTAGAATACATATTTTTTTCATGCCCTCTTAAAAGAAATAAAATGACCCCTCAATGTAGAGAAGATTTGATATTTACACAATTTTCATCTTGTTTCCATAAGAACTCTACAGTACTTAAAGGGAAGACTAAGATGTGGGATATTGTTAAAGATAAATTTGATTTATTTGAAGATGTTGAAGTACTTGAATTTGCAAATTTATCCTTAGATGAACCAAAGATGAAAAAAATTATTTTTATTGATGATGCTGATGAATCATCAAATGAAGGTGATAACGATGTAGAGAACAAGTTTAGTGATTATTCAATATGATTTTATATACTCAATCTTTATTTTGGATACTAATATTTAGATGATTTTAATTGTTTCAACTTGTATAATGATATTTATTTGTTCACATTCCTGAGTTTATAAATTTGAAGTATAAATATTATAAAACTCATATTAATCAAATATTATATATATATTAAAAAATACGTGTGTTCTCGTTATGTCCATGTCTTAATTTTTTTTAAAATGGAATGTCATTGTGTCTGTGTCCGTGCTTCTTAGTTTGCACTTGCAATAACTAAAAGGTAAAAGAGACGGTAAAGAGAAGAGGAGGCAGGGGTGCTGCCAGTGGCAGCCACTTACATTGGGCAGAAGAAATCAGGAGCATAAAGAGATTGAGAGTAAAGGTGGAATAAGGAATATTACTAGTGGGTACAAGGATTAAGAACAGGAAAGTAAAGAGATTGAGAGGAAAGGTGGAATAAGGAATATTACCTGTTGCTAATGTTACCTCCATCTAGGAAGAAGTGTGAGATTGAAGGGAGAGAAGGGGATAGGAAGAACCTGTCCATGACATAGTTTTCAATCCCTTGATACAAGATTTCTGTTCTATCAGAATAATAGAAAATATAACAAGGATGTGTATTTACATTTTACCACAGGAAAGGGCCAATCCCAACCCGATCCTGATCAGATCAGTCTTCTCTTGTTTGGAAAGATGGAAAAGTTTCAAGGTAATCGATTGGATGGTTGTCTAACGAAATGTAGCCACCCAAATGCTGAATTCTTTTTAAACCAACATATATCTTTAAAGTAAGTTCTCTCAACACTTTAAGCTCTGGGAATAAAAGAACAATCCAGTGAACAAGGCATCCTCCAATGCATGGTCTAGGGTCAAAATACCCTTTAATCTGAGAATCACTTATCATGAAGATAGATTTCATCATCACAAAATATATATATATATATATATATATGGGAATCAGAAGATTAAATGGCTAATCCTCCAATTATGAGCCTAAAATCCGTTGGTAAAATGAATTCCATATGGATATCCAACAGCCAAAAAGCTCCTTAGATGTTAATCTATTCCCAGTAGTGAAAACAGAAAAAAAAAAAAGTCTACATGAATAAAACTCCCTAGATCAGAACAAATAAGATATATGCATACCTTGTTCCACACAACGAACTTTGGTATTGATGCCACATCCAACTCTGTAAGTACTTTATCAACAGCATCTATCTGTTGATTAGCTAGTGGATGACTGGAATTTCACATCAGGAAGATAATAATCAATATGCAAACTGCCAGATAGAAGTACAAACAGAACACATAATATTATATTGAATTCATACCTGATGTCCACAACATGCACTAAAAGAGACGACTCAGATATTTCTTCTAGTGTCGCTCTAAATGCAGCTACCTGTGCAAGGACATTTACACAATATTGAAAGAGTCTTTTAAATTTAATGTTCTCAACATGTCATTGAATATCAATAAATTGCAATGTATTAATTATATTGAGTTTTCTTATCACTAGATGGCAGTATCAGATATTCAGATGTCTCTAAGAAGACATCCATGTACTATGCATAATATATGCACATTAAGCAGTAAAGGATTTGAGTCTTGTGAGTGTCTAGCGTGCATGGTTACGCAATAATTATATATGAAAGGAGAATTTTTTTCTAAAAGGCAATATCAAACAAAAAATAATACTGCTGATCGGACAAAGCACTAGGCAATAAGGTTGCATTTGGGAACACATTTGCATTTTTAATGTGGATTTAGAGAAAGGGGCTTGGGTGAATGTGTAGTTGTGAAATGATTTTGAGTGTTTGGTAAGCAATAGATGAAAAGTGTATTTTAAATGTGCATTGACATAAGAGTTGTTTGATAAAATTATATTTCAAAAGTCTATTGAAT